ACACTTCCCAGTTACTTAACTTTGTCATGATGTACGTTGGTGTACTCAGTCAAGGCGGCATAGATTACATTGACTATTTGGATATAATTTAGACATAATTCGGCTGTATTATTGGTATTCATTGGGGGATTTTGTTGTGCAGGCCGCCATAGGAGCATGTGGAGAGTGTGGGCTTGAAGGGATGACATCTCTTCCTAGGGAGATTGTCTTCATGAAATCAAAGTAAGGGAGTGAGCAGACTTAGAATATAGTCCAGAGATAGCTGTTTAAGAACTTCCCACCCTGGTCTGTGTGACTCAGTTGGTCGGAGCGCCATCCTGTAAACTGAAAAGTTGCAGGTTTGATACCTGGTCGGAGCATATCTGGGAGGCGCGCGCGCTCTCTCTCTCTCTCCCTCTCTCTCTTTCTCTTTCTCTCTCTCTCTCAAAAAAGAATGGATTTCCCTATAGTTATGAAAACATTTTTTTTAAAGATTTTATTTATTTATTTTTAGAGAGAGAGGGAGGGAGAGAGGGAGAGAAACATCGATGTGAGAGAAACATCATTGGTTGCCTCTCGCAGGTGCCCCAGCCAGGAACCGCGTCTGCAGCCCAGTTGTGTGCCCTGACCTTTCGCTTTGCGGAATAATACCCAACACACTAAGCCACACCAGTCAGGGCTAGTTGTGAAAATTTTAATACCTACTTCTTTGCTGTATTATCTTCAGGGAAACCTATTGAAGGTTCTTAAAGCTGTGAAAAAGTTTCCTAGACTGGTTTAGCATTTTCTTGGCATGATAATATATGTGACTCTTGGGCATAGATCTCCAGTCCTTTAGGTCTCATTGCTCGTTGGGGTGTCACTATCTGAGGCTCCTATTCTGTGACCTCCTCTGTTTATGTGGCTCCTGGAATGCAACACACGCAGGCTGAGAAGGAGCCTGATACGCTGTCACAGAAAAGGGTTGTGTCAGATAGAGCCACACCGGGTCCTGGGACCAACATAATTGTTTATCTAGGTTTAGTTCTCTTAGCAAAAGTTAGAGTAACAGGTTACTAGTTTTAAGTATTTAGCCCTACTCTTTCATTACTGACATTTTTCAGATTGACCTGGAATTGGGAGTTTACGTACACATACAGTAAGTTGGAAGTACTCTGTGTGGTGCTAATTTATTTGATCTGTATTGGTATGAATATTTGACTGCTGCCTTTTTGACCCTTTTTTGTATGCTTCTAGTGCCCCAAATGTACCTTCAGAAACAGCATTCAGTTTCTAATTGTCTTGGAAACATTGGCCTATTCGGTGGTACCATTTTCGTTTTATTTACTGCAAATGATGATTTGTTAGTTGCCCGCTGCCAGAAGATCTGAGCTCATTTGTTTAACTAAAGCAGTGCTGTGCAGAGAAGCCTGTAACACGCAGCAACAGTTACCAACCACCCCAGTTGCTAGCCACCTCATTTTAGCTCTAAATCAAGCAAATGGGAAAGAAGATTATTCTTAAAATGTTCCAAGAAGTTTAGAAAATTGGAGGGAGAGGTGGGAGGAAAAGAATTCTATTATAACAATCAGTGTGTTGCTTTTGGCAGGGGTGTGCCTGGCTGATTTCCTTCGTAGAAATAAGTAAGGCTTCAGAGTGCAGAAGTTGCAGGGACACTGCCCAAACAGAGCGCCATGCATCCTTTATTTGATAGGTAATTACCAAGTATTTGTCTTCTGGCTGAGCCACTGGACCAGGCATGGTGGGGATGCATGGATGAGTGAGACATTGTCCCTGTTCTCACGGAGTTTGTAATCTGGGCACTCTGAGTGCTTGTGACCGGAGATGGTGATCGCTGAGGAGGCAGTGGTGGGCTTTCAGGTCATGGCACTGTGTAGGGGACCCAGGCCCTGCCGGACGTAATCACAGAACGGCAGGTGCTGGCTGGCTCACCAGCAGAGGGAGCTTTCCTCTGCAGTGGGATAATTCCCAGCCTTTCCAGGCCGCCTCAGTGAGTGTTTAAAAAAATATTTTAATAAAAATTTAAACTTGGGAGCAGACCTTGCCTTGAGGGCTAGAGGGTGTCGAGTGTTTCTTGAGGAATGGGGCGGCGGGCAATAGAATTTTGTTCTGTGGTAGTGAAGTGTCTGACATTCACTCACCCAGTGCCTTTTTATTAAGTGTGGGCTTTGTACCGGGCTAGGAACGCTGGGTTGAATAAGGAGCCTGCAGCCTGTGGGGGCCACTGACAGGTAATTGGGCAACCTTGCTACCGGCTCCCGTGTGCTCACTTTTATGGTTGGGTGCTCGTGGGGCAGAAGCCAGACTTCTCATCTGGTCTTAGGTGATCAAAGAAGGTTTCCTGGAAGAAGTAATGTACAAACGAATCTCACTAATACACGTGGAATTAATTAATCCCTTTTTAAGGCCAATATTGTATTAGAAATCAATCAGAAACCTGTTTTGAGAGCCTTTCTGTTGAGAACAAGTTGAGAAACTGAACTCTGTATTCCAGCCACCCAGGCTGTTTGTCCAGTGATGATTAATCCCCGCTTCGCAGAGCATGCCAGGCTCTCTGTGACGGCCATGCCTTTGCATGTACTATTCCTTGTGGGTGGAAAGCCCTCTCCTTTGGTTTGCCTGACCGATTTCGTTTGCTCCTTCAGGACAGACAGTTAATTCCTCCAGGGTGCTTCCTCGACTATTCCTAGGGAAAGTTGGGTGCACTTCCTGTGAGCTCAGGCACAGGGCTGGTCTTGATTTTCATACTCCCGCTGCACCCGGTTGTCTGCAGCTGCCGCCATCCTCCATGTGGCCTGGAGACAGAGGCAGCATCTTTCACAGAACCCAGCGTGTCCTGGGCATCCAGGTAGTTTGTTGAACCAACAAATTCAGAAGCTTTTGAAGGTTGTAATCACATGTATATAATTGAAGCTCTTGGTTCCAGCTCACTTTGAGAGTGTTATTGACTGAAGAAAGTAGAGGCACCAATGAAACAGATTTTATGCATGTGGTCTAGTTATTAACCTCATAAAGCTCTTTACAATCTTTTGCATTTTATACCTCTTTTTTTTTTTGCCCGAGTAACCAATAAACTGAGTAATTCATAGTTCCCACTTCTTGCCAACTACTAATGTGTATTATTAAATCCGACCACAGTGATTTATTAATCAGAACCTTTTGGTTATTAAGAAGAATCAATTTGATTTAGCATATGCTAGAAAGAGGCGCTTATGTGATGAAGAGACAGGGTGCTATCTAATAGAGTCCAAGATCAGGAACACAGCTAGGCTTTTGGGAAGAGCTGGTCCCAAAAATCCCAAGGCCAGTGGAGTACTGAGAGGCCTTTGTTCATTTACTTACTAACTGGCTTTCTCTGCTTCTTAGTGGGTGGAGGGTGGCTTCCCCTAACTCTCAGCTTTGCACCCAGGGGCCAGACATCAGAAAACCTGTGTTTCCATCTCAGAGTTTTTCCAAGACTCTGGTGTGGCTTACATTAGAAGTCTGTCCCTGACTCAGTGACCTGTGACCAGGGAGTAGGGTCGTGCTGAGGGAGTCTGCCTGCCGCTGCTCACCCCTGAGGAGGGGATGGGAAGATAGAAGAAGAGGTCAGGAGGACAGCAGACAGTCGTCGTCAGGCGGGCAGACACTCTAAAAATATCTAATGCCTGTAAACACTTTATTGTAGGTTATTTCTAGGTTATTTTGGCTAAAAAAATTTAATCTTAGGTGAAACTTAAAGGTTTAACTTTGAAAAGATATGTATCTTTTAGAATATGAATGTAATTCGAGATTGTTACGGTGCTGGCATATCCACTGAAGTAGTTAGTGGGTCTCAGCTTTGGTTATATGTCCATGGATAATGCTTTTTAGGCATGATGCTGTCTTAATTGCTGGGAGACAGGTTCTAGAGCAGCTCTGTTAGAACTATGGGAGACATTCATATATTTGAAAGTTTTGTAGCAGCCGCAAGAAAAAGTGAAGTGAAACAGGTGAAATTAATTTTAATTATGTGTATTTCACTTAACCTAGTATATCCCAACTATTACTTCACGAACATAAGGATTAATAATGAAGCAGCTTTCATTCTTCGAAATCTGCAGGGTATTTTATGTTTCAGCACATCTCAATGTGGACTAGCCATGTCTCACTACGTGTGGCCAGTGGTCAGCATACTGGACAGTGTAGTTCTAGAGATCTAAAGCAATTAGTGTTCTTCCACAGTTTTTCTAAACCTTTCTTGTCGGATGCATTAATACTTATGGATCCTTTCTTTTTAAAAGTGTGATTCAGCAGCAGCAGCAACGAACCCTAGGAGGTAGGGATTTTTAAGGCAGCCATAGAAGAGTTGCTCATTTGGAAGATTCACTGTGCCGTGTGTGTTAGCAGAAAAGAACATGAAATTTTTAACCCAGTCACCAGACTCTAAAGCCAGTTCCTCTTCTTCCTGTGTCTCCGGTTCCTGGAATATTAAACTCCTTGGAAGCCTCAAGTTGCTTCTCTATACTTTTTCTTCCTTCCCTTGATTTCACACCCATTAGGATGGGTGGGTGGTAGGGACAAAGGGAGGGGAGGGGAGTGGAGGGGAGGGGAGGAGAGGAAAGGAAGGAAGGCAGCTCTGCTATGGCCATTTGAAAAATCCCCATCTCCTAAAAATAATGGCATTTTTCTAAATAAGTATAATGCCATGACCGTACTGCCCTTGCACTCGGGCAGGTGGGCCCCTGACTTTGGCTCTGCGCTCTGGAGTGCCTTCATCGAGCTTTTCTGCCCCCCAACCCCGCCCTTCCTCCCTGCCCCAGTGCCTGAAAGGCGGGGTGCCACGAGCTCTTTTGGGAATCTCATTTTGAGAATTACAATAAATTTCCTAATTACATTGAAAATAGAAACTTCATTTTACTTTGCAGATTTTATTGTTCACCATATGTATCATATTTTCCTTCTAAATTACTTTTCTTATTTTTATATATTCCTTTAACTGGTAAGTTTGTACATATTTAGTGTTATAATTATTAATTATCTTTCTCTTTCTATCTCTCCAGTGCCGATTTGAAGCTCTTGGAGGAGGCAACTATTTCAGTCTGCAGGTCTTTAGGTAAGAGGGGGGAGGCGAGAGAGAGAGAGAGAGAGAGAGAGAGAGAGAATATGCACACGTAGATATGTGTATGTGTGTGGGGGCATTTATTTGAAATATTCCGTTATAAACTTTGATAGTGTAATATGAGTTGAATTAATGAAGCGATGTATTCTTGATGATGATAGTAGTAATTACTTCCATTCACAGTGCTTATTGATACCACTAGAATGTACCAGTCATTAGCAATAAGACACATGCTTGATTAATTTGCAGTAGTGGTAATAGATTCTTCTAAACCATAGACTCTTTTTCAGCTTGTTCTTTTTTGTGAATTTTGAAATGCAGAGACAAAACAAAATATTAAGTTAGTTTTGTAGTTGTATGGATAGTTCATGTAAAATACAGATCATTCATTCTGTGATTTGCCAACGACACTGATTGTATTTATTACATAGCTGTTATTGGCTATGTTAACCAGAATAATTATCCCGTATTAATAGAAAAATATATTAGGAAGCTTCTTGAATTGTAATAACAACTTGATGTTATAGTAAATACAAAGGCTCTGAAATAATTTTATGATTTCCATTTCAGCTCTGCTACTTATTAGCTGAGTCTTAATTTTCTCATCTAAGTTTCAGGATCCTTGTGAAGAAAATATCTGATAATGTGAAATATCCAGTATAATGTCTAGTATCTTGCCGTTATTAACCATTTATATCAACAGATGTCCCTCGTTTTGGTCTTGTTTTCTCAAATGCTTTATTTTCAAGTTGGTGGCAATTGGAAAGGAATGTGTCTGCTTTTAAAAAATGTAGATAATTATACTTGTATTGCATTGTCGCTTTGAAAATTAGAGATAACGTGTTTGTAAAATGCTGAGTGTACAGGAGCTTCTTAAGTAATAGTGATATTCTGTCATTAAATGAAGCGACATACATGAGCTCCATGGCTGTATGGCTAACTCGTGTAGGTTACTCTGCCGCAGCCTTTGATGAAACATTTTTGCTTTTAAAAACAAATTTTCTTGGTAATGATAGAGGTGTTATTGTAGTAGTTACCTTGAATTTTGTAGTCACAACCATAGGTTAGAGAATTTTGTGCTAACTAGATCTGGCTTTCAAAAACTGTGTCCGTTGATAGACGAATGGATGAAGAGGAGGTGGTACGTATATACAATGGAATAGTGCTCGGCCATAAAAAATGAAACCTTACCATTTGTGATAACATGATTAGACCTAGAGAGTATTTTACTCACAGGAATAAGTCAGACAGAGAAAGACAAATAATACGATTTCACATGTATGTGAAATCTAAAGAACAAAGTAAGTGAACAAACAAAATAGAAACAAACTCATAGATACAGAGAACATTTTGCTGGTTGACAAATGAGAATGGGGTGAAGGAGAGAGGTGAAAAAGTGGAAGGGAGAAAAATAAAAAATTATTTTAAAGAAAAAACCTTATGTGGCAGTTTGATACTGATAATTAACGGAGTTTATATAACAACGATATCAATACATTTATGATGATGATGATGGCTTTTAAGGTGTCCTTGGATTTTTATAAAAATAACATTTTAAATTGGAAGTAATGTTTAATCATTATATAATATAAAATATGATATAATATATATGACATAATATAATATAACAAATATATAATACTAAACTGTAAAAAAAGGTCAGTAATTGCTCATAATTCCACAGTCCTGACATAGCCATCATTAAAATTTTCTGTATTGCCTTCTGTTATTTATTTGTAGATATACATTTACGTACTGTTTTTGTAGATACACATTTACATATGATCTACAATTATTTTAATGTGTTTTTCATTTGGATTATATTTAAGTGTGTCATTATATATTTAAAAATACTTTTGGGAATACGAAAAAAAAAAAAAACGCCAAAAATTCCAACAATACAGAGATACTGTTAAAATGTGGGAAATTGCCCTGACCAGTGTTGGCTCAGTTGGTTGGGCCATTGCCCACAAAGCAAAAGGTCACTGGTTTGATTCCCAGTCAGGGCACATGACTGGATTATGGGTACAGTCCCTACATGGGGCATGTGCAAGAGGCAACCAAGCGATGTTTCTCTCCCTCTCTTCCCCTCTCTATTAAATTAAAAAAATAAAAACCTTTAAAATACAGGAAATCACTACTAATCTTTTGTGATAAGATTTTTTTCAGAGTATTCTATTTGTACTGATTTATATATACAATTTTATGTAAGTTGTATTCTTTATATGTTGTTTTCCTTCAGCAGTATTCAGGAACTTCTGTTCATGTCAATAAATGTGAACATTTATCAGTTTTAAGGATTATATAGATATATAGCAAATTCTATTGTCTGAAAATGTTTGTATTTCTTATTCACTTTTGGAGTATATGTTTGCTGGGTGTAGAATTCTAGGTTGGCATTAATTTCTTTTCCATACTTGAAAGATATTCTTCTGTTTCATTTTTGTTGAGATGAAAGCTGTCAATTTTATTGTTTTCCTTTGATAATAATGGACTTTTTTTCCTTTAGGATATTTTAAAGTTTTTCTCCTTGTCCTTTGATTTTTAGCATTTTAGAATGTTAAAATGATGTTAGAATGATGTGCTAAGGAGCGGCTTTCATTTCTTTCCATTTGTTTGCTCCTCCCTCCCTTCATCCCTTCCTTTCTTGCTTGAGGTTTGTAGAGCTTCTTAAACCTGTAGGTTGATGTCTTTCATCAGTTTTGGAAAAATTTCAGCCATTATTGGTTTATACACTGTTTCTGTCCTATTCTGTTTCTCCTCTCCTCTACGACCTCTGTTTTACTTCCTTTACATTTTTGTTGTGTTCCATGTGCCTGTTTGGGGCTTGTGTGTGCGTGCGCGCGTGCGCTCTCTCTCTCTCTCTCTCTCTCTCTCTCTCTGTATTTTATATTTTACAAAATTTTTTTTTCTCCCTGATCATCAGGAGTATATTTTCTTTTAACTTATTTTTACTTTACTAATCTTGTTTTCTGTTGTATGCCATCTGCTTTTAAACCCATCTATTGAGATTTTTTACAATAAAATAAAAATTTAATTTTAGAATAGCTTTTAGATTTACAGAAAAGTTACAAAGCTATATATAGAATCCCCAGATAATTCTCATCAGTTTCCCTGTTGTTAACATCTTACTTTAATACGGTACATTTGTCACAACTAGAGAATCAATACTAGTCCATTACTATAAGTTGACACTTTATTCATGTTTCACTAGTTTTTGCCTACTGTCCTTTTTCTTTTCCAGGCTCTCATTCAGGATACCCCATTACATTTAGTCATCATGTTTCCTTAGCCTCCTCTGGTCTGCAATGGTTTCTCAGATTTTCCTTATTTTTGATGTTTTAGAGTTTTGAGGAGTACTGGTAGAGCATTTTTTGAAGTGTCCTTCAATTTGAGTTTGGTATTTTTCTCGTGGTTACACTGGGTTGTGGGTCTGTAGGGGGAAGACCACAGAGGTGAAGTCCTAGTCTCAACATCAGATCAGGAGTGAGGGCTATTGAGTAACATGCGCTCTTGCTGATGATTCGGACCTTGATTACTCTCGTCAGGGTTATGTTTGTCGAGTCACCACTGTCACCGCCTTCCTCATTGTCTTTATTTTGGGAGGAGGGATTTTTCCAAATACAGAATCCTTGGTTGATAATTTTTATTTTTATTCCTTTGATGGCATCATTCCATTGCCCCCCCGGTCTCCTTTTTTTCAGAGGGGAAGTCTGCTATTTAATTGTGTTGTTGGCTCCCCTATAAATGATGAGTGTTTTTTTTCTTGCTGTTATCAAGGTTTTCTCTTTACCTTACATGTTTTAAAAAGTTTTTATTTATTTATTTTTAGAGAGAGGGGGAGAAACATCAGTGTACAAGAGAAACATAGATTGGTTGCCTCTCACATGCCCCAACTGGGGACCAGGCCTGAAACCCAGGCATGTGTCCTAGCTGGGAATTGAACCGGTGATCCTTTGGTTATTAACAGGCTGGTACTCAATTAGGGCTACCTTAAATTTTTTAAAATTTATTTTTTATTCTATTTGGAGTTAGCTCATATTCTTGGATGCATAGATTAATGTTTTTTCATCAATTTTGGGAGGGTGGTGACCCTTTTTTTGTTGGGTTTTCTATATTCATTTTTATTCCTTTTTTCCCCTGAATGCACACACAAGTCTTTCTGGATCAGAGCCAGATTTCTTTTTAAGTACAGCACAGTAAATAATAAGTGCATTGGTCCTCCTTTGTTCTAGTTCTTACTGCTAGGATAATGCTGTGAGAGCCAGGTCAGTTGTTTTATGTGAGTAGCTGGGGGAGGGTGCGTAAGGTGTTTTTTCCTTCTTATAAAGGGGAAGGAGTAAGCTGTCCCCCCCTTCTCTTTACTCAGCCTTTGGTATGTAAATAAAATCTCTTTAGGAGCCAGATACCGTCCCTCCTTGTCTTGGCATTTTAGACCTAAAGGTGTTTCCAAGTTCTGGGATCTCATTCCTCCTTGAAATACAGATACTTAGGAAGATGATACTCTAGTCTCTCTTGAACCTTTGGAGCCAGTTTAGGTGCTTATCTTGTGATGTAACTGCTTGGCTTTCAGTAAGATAAGGAAGTTTTAGACACATGGCTACAGTTCTAATCCGTATGGTATGTGAAATGTTTCTAGGAGAAGTAAAAGCAGACATTCTCTCACTCTTATAGCATATATGTTTCCCTGACCCAGGAGGTGAAGGTTTTTTCTACAAGAACACTGAGAAATACAGGGAGGTTTTATTTCCCACAACGTTTTCAGATATTTTTTCATGCCACTTTCTTTCTCTCCATTCCTTCTGGGTCTCCTATTACTATTTCTGAGTTTCCTTAGTTCTGGGGTGTAGCTGTTAGTCATGAGATGTGGTTCTTACTTGTCAAGCATGGCCCTTCAGGGATGTCAGTGGAAAGTCCTAGGCTGTAACAAAGTCCCTCTAATTTGGCGGGAGTTAACTTTAAATTTTGCCTCCTCAGCACCAGGCAGCTGCTAA